TGAAACTGTTATATATTAGTGAATTTCCTGTTACTGAAAATAACAATATGGAGTTTGAATAAAGTTTTGATTTGAGAGATTTCACGATCAGCAAATCAACCTGATTCTGCTTTCCAAAAAGAGTTAATATTGGAATTTATCTGTAAACACTTATTACTTACTAGCATACATTAGTACCTATAGATCCTTTGGGCTCTAAGTTGTGTTGATCATATATTTTAGCACCTTAATGGATGGCCGTGTGCTATTTTTTGGGGGGTGGTAGTGGTTGGTTTGAATTCCAGGGTGATAAATGGAAGAAGTGTGTAGTTATATTTCTGGGTGGTTTGTGCTCCTTGACTACTAATCTAGAGGTGGTGGTTGGAACCCACCCAGTGGTACCATGGGGCCTAATGATCTGCTTCCATAAAGACTGAAGCCAAGAAAATCCTACGGGACAGTTCTGTTCTGCAGCAGTGGAGTCGCTGTGACTTGAAATTGACTTGGCAGCAACTTTTTTTTTAATGTGTAGTTAATTTGAGTAATTAATATAATCATTATTTTAAATGTGAATAGGTTTCAGAATACTTATAAATATGTTAATTTGGATAGACCTTAACTGAAAATATTTTGCTTTTCTTAGATATGCACTTTGCCTGAGAAATGCGCTATTGATAAGATCATCGATTCAGGTCCTCAGCTTTCCGGATCTCTAGATTACAATGTAGTACATAGTAAGTGGTTAGTAGAAATGATCTTTTGTCAACATCAACACTTGTTTTTAACCACCAATAGTTAATAGCAGTTATTTATCAATTAGGTATGGATGATACTGTTTCCTAAGGCATGTTGTTTGAAATGTGACTTTAGTTCCTTGTTTTCTAGTAACTAAGAAGTCCCATCCACTGGCCATTTATAAATGTGAATGATAAGGAAAATTTGATAGTTCTAAGCATTGTTGATGTCAGATGGTTCTTGGCTAAAAGCAAAGAATACAAGACAGATGTTTACTTGTGTTTTATTGACTATGCAAAAACATTTGTGTGTGAATCATAATATACTATGGATAACACTGAGAAGAATGGGAATTCCAGAACACTTAATTGTGCTCATGAGGAACCTGTACATAGACCAGGAGGCTGTTAAAATAGAACAAGGAGATACTGCATGGTTTAAAATCAGGAAGGGAGTGTGTCAGGGTTGTATCCTTTCACCATACTTATTCAATCTGAATGCTGAGCAAATAATCCAGGAAGTTGAACTACAGGAAGAAGAACATGGCATCAGGATTGGAGGAAGACTCATTAACAACCTGCAATACGCAGATGACACAGCTTTGCTTGCTGAAAGTGAGGATGACTTGAGAAAGTGAGGATGACTTGAAGCACTTACTGATGAAGATTGAACACTGCAGTCTGCAGTGTGGGTTACACCTCAATATAAAGGAAACAAAAATCCTCACAACTGGACTTGTAAGTAGCATCATGATAAGTAAAGAAAAGATTGATGTTGTTAAAGACCTCATACTACTTGGTTCTGCAATCAACACCAATGGAAGCAGCAGTCCAGACTTCAAAAGATGTATTGCATCTGGCAAATCTGCTGCAAAAGACCTCTTTCAAATGCTGAAGAGCAAAAATGTCTCCTTGAGGACTAAGGTGCACCTAACCCAAGCCATGGTATTTTCAATTGCATCACATGCACATGAGAGCTGGACAGTGAATAAGGAAGACCAAAGAAGAGTTGATGCTTTTGAGTTGTGGTGCTGGCGAAGAACACTGAAAGTACCATGGACTGCTAAAAGAACTAACAGATCTGTCCTGGAGGAAGTGCAGCCAGAATGCTCCTTGGAAGTGAGAGTGGCCAGACTTTGTCTCACCTCCTTTGGTCATGTCCGAAAAGGACCATTCCCTGGAGAAGGAGATCATGCTGCTAAAGTGGAGGGTCAAGGAAAAAGGGGAAGGCCTTCAACAAGATGGGTTGATATAGTGGCTGCAATGATGGGCTCAGATATAGCAAGGGTCGTGAAGCTGGCACAGGACCAGGCAGTGTTTTGTTCTGTTGTACGTAGAGTCACTGTGAGTTGGAGATGACTTGGCGGCACCTAACAACAACAACAACAAGAAGCATATGTAGGAAACTGAAATTTGAAAACCTTAATTCTTTTCTTCTTCTATTTTACTTTTTATCTTTACTTCTCCACATACCATTCAGCTGTAAGAATTTTTATAGAAAGCCAGAAATCAGAATTTTTTTTTTCTTTAAATAGTATTGTTGAGTATCATATCTAACACAAGATAATTCTGCTTCTGTAGGTTTATATAACAAAGGATTTATTTATCTGGATGTACCAATATCTGATGACAGTTGTATAGCAGGTGAGCATGTATTAACATTTTGAACATGTTTTGAATGCCCTCCTAGCTCTTTGTACGATCATTGCCCTCTCTGTGAATATAACTTTGGGGGTTTTAGAAACACCATTGTAATTAGACACACATCCTTCTAGCATCTTACATCTTAGTATTTTTTTTTTTTAAAGAAAAACATTCTTCATTATATTGTTACACTATTGAGGTGGTTTTGAATTCCTGCTTTTCATTTTTGTATTGTTTTGGTATACATACTCTGTCAAAATAATAGAGAAATCCAGGATAAATTCTCCCTCTTCTCAAGGTGGAGCCAATGGCTTTTGTCTGCCTGGCTTTTGTATAGTGTACAACTCTTTCTCGTAGTCCTTTTACCCTTTCACCCCCCTGCCGTCTCTGCCCCCTCTCCCATTCTGAAGCAGCCCCAGTTCCTGTCCCTTTCCACCCAGTACACATCCTCCAGCATCTCTCTGTCTCATTTAAGTCTCGTGTACCCCATGGGACATCATATTGCTCTTTGTAGGGTTCGTGCTGTACTCTCAGTCCCTCTCTGTGTGATGTGTGGGCATGGTGCAAATGGTCTTGACTTTGGGATCTTAGAAAGCATGCTGTGAAGTAGATTAAATAAATAAAAAGCTGAAGTCAGTCCATAAGCTAGAGATTACTCTTTTGAATAGACATTTGAATTATGCTTTTGTTTTATAAAATTGCATCACTGAGACAAGTCTTTGATTATTATTCTTTTTTATTTTAATAAAACACTTTTTTTTGTTCATTATTTTGTTTATTTTAGTTCCTCCTCTTGAAGGCTTTGTAATGAATCGCGTTCAAGGTGATTATTTTGAAACCCTGCTGTATAAGATATTTGTTTCAATCGATGAGCACACTAATGTTGCAGAGGTAAGTGTGGCAGCATCTCATGAAGGAATTTAATCCAGACTATAAAACAGGTGTATGTAAAGCAGGTAAACGGCTGGCCATGGTGGTGCAAATGGTTCAGCACTCAGCAGCTCTATAGGAAAAGAGCTGCAGTCTCTTCCATGCAGATCACAGCCAAGTGAACCCTGTGGGGCAGTTCCATTTTGTCAGGTGGGGCCACTGTGAGTCAGAGTAGACTCGACAGCACCTAACAACAACAACAAAGTAGGTGAAGTTGTTTAATGACACAGTTAAATTGTTTTCAGCATCTAGACATGGCCAGGTCATGTTGTTATGTGCCACCGAGTCAGCCCGACTTATAGCGACCCCTCCTTGGGTTGCCAAGGCAGTATCACTGTGGAAGTAGATTGCCCAACCTTCCTTCGGAGGAGTGGATGGTGGGTTTGAACCGCCAACCTTCTGGTTAGCAGTCAGGTGCCTTAGGCACTGTGCTACCAGAGCTGGCCAAGTCATAGAGGGTTAATATTCTTAACTGTCACTATTCTTAAGTTACTTCTTGCAGATGTGGAGTAAAAAGTTTCAAGTTAATTACTTACCATTGTTAAATAACTTTTTCTATGACTCTTTATAATGAAAAGATTGTAGACTGCATTGATCTATCTAGGAGTTTTCTTATTTTAAATGAGTCAAAATTAAAGAGTAAGGAATCTTGTATTATTATGGTCACTATCAGAATTAGTACTACTGAGATACAAAAAGTTCTGAATTCAGAATGTACTCAAACTTTGAATTATCTGTAATTCAGAATTATTTTGATTGGTGTTAACTTTGTCTGTGTATATAATGATAGTTCTAAGAATCTAAAGTGACTTTCAGTTTTCTTTTCTAGCTTGCAAATGTCCTTGAAATAGACTTATCCCTGGTCAAGGTATGTTGGGTTTATATTCTTCAGCTTGTCATGTGTGGACCAAATGGATTTTACTAATGTATTTTTCTCATGATGAGCTACTAAGAAACTGAGGCGTTGAGATTCTTATTAGCTCTGAGGCTACTGGAGACCAGATTTGTAGAGCCCTGCTGTCCTGGGAAATGTCTGGACTTAGGGAATGGGGTAACCAAGTTCTCTTGAACTTTCTAAGGCATTCTTCCTTTAATTGCCTTGGCCCTTCTAGGTTCTAAATTGCCATTATTGTTAGGCATATTGGTGGGCTTTGGATGGTACTGTGGGGGGACCTAGGACTTTCTGACTCTTGTATTTCCAATTACCTTGTTCCTTTAAGTTCCTGGCAGAAGAATTGTCATATAGGAATGATAGCAAATGTCAGATAGTCTCACTGCTTGGCCTTGTGCTCAGTAACTGTTAATATTGAATTCTGATAAAGTTGAATTGGACCCTTAGTAATTATGAATGAGCACGAAACAGTGCCTCCTGTCCATCCTTAACCCTGAATCCACATCTTGGGATCCTACTGCCTGGCATAGTAGGGGTGATTGCAAAGATGGAAAAGAGCAAGATTAGGGTCCCTGAGTTAGTACTCCAACACATGGAGTTAAAGAGCTTGCATACTTATGTGTACATCAGGAAGCACCTGGTCAGGACCCTGTAATGAGACCAATTAAACAATCAGTTGTGGCTTTGTTGGGTAGGATCTAGGGAAGGGAAGGCCAGAGAGTGGGACACGTTCCCTCCCGTATATATCTGAAGACCTTAGGAGAAGAACAGGTCTGCTGAAAGTGGATTTTTGTTGTTATGGGATGCAAATGTCTGAGAATCACTGCAGGCACAGCTTATTACAGTATTTTTTCATTACAGATCTTCTGATGTCTTGTTTCCTTTTGAATGTTCATTTCCTTTATATTCCTTTCAGAATGCTGTTTCAATGTATTGCCGATTGGGCTTTGCTCATAAGAAGGGACAAGTAATCAATTTGGATCAACTTCATTTATCGTGGCGGAATGTTCCATCTGTAAACAGATTAAAGTAACTTATTTATTCTGTATAAGATATTAGAGTTGTCCTTTTGGAAAAGAGTTATAAGAAAATTTTACTCAACCTGTCAGTTGAATTGAACCCTGTCTCAGTTATTTTCACTCTCCTGTGTGTGATGGATCTTTTTAGAATCTCCTGAAAGCTAAGAGGCCTCTCCCTAGAAAAAAGCCCATAGAATGTTTAACATACAATTTTGATGGGTTCTTGAATTCCTTGAAGCCTATCCATGGGTCTTGCTGTGTATGGGTGGAGAATCTTTGGGCTCTGTCAAGTCCAGGCTTGAATATGAGACTGGATTTACATGATTGCTCATAATTTAAGTACTGATTTCAGTGACTGTTTTTACAAGATAAACTTATATTATTTTTTAAAAAGTGGATTTATTCTTCATGAATAGGAGTACTTTTGACCCACAAAAGATGCTTCTCTCATGGGATGGCGGGGAAAGTAGGAGTCCTGTACAAGAAGCTTCGTCAGCTACTGATACTGATACAAATAGTCAAGAAGATCCAGGTTAGCAGAAACTCGGTTTAATTTAGAGACTGCCCATAGGTACCGCCGCATATGTTGCACATGTACTCATGAACAGTTTCTTCGCCAGGCTTAAAGTTCCTTTATGTTTGTTCTCGATTTCATTCTTTCAATATGCAGTCATTGAAAACTTAGCCATATGTTAGGTCTTTGGGTTATAAAATTGGCAAGAATATGGTACCTTCTTTCTAGGGATTAACAGTCTAGGAGGAGAAGGCAATGTAACCAAAACAACTATGAGGAAGAAGTGTTGTGGGGCTTAGGGGTAAAGAGGAAGAGGTGAGATCTCTCACTGCCTAGAAAGTTAAAGAAGCTTTCGTGAAGAGAAATCATTGGCAGAGTACAAAGGGGGACAAGGCATGGTAGACAAAGGAGTCGACATGGTTTAATGTGGGGAGAAGAGGGGGACAGCATAGACTGTCTCCCATGTTGGCCCACAATAGCTCTGTTCCCTGAGGTCTTGGCTTATTTTAAGATATAATATATAAATGTATTTATAGTACATTTTAAGAAATGTACTATAAAATATTAAAAATTTTTTTAAAAAAAGAATTACATGTACCTGTAGGACAGATTAGATTGGGACTTATGGCTATAACATGGCTTATATTTAATTATGTACTTTCTGGTTAGCAAATAAAGCTGAAATGAAATACTTTCTCATTCTAAGTGATAACATAATATAATTTTCATTTACTTGATTTTAAATTAGGAATTTTTCCTTTTAGCTGATACGGCCAGTATAAGCAGTTTGAGTCTGTCTACAGGATATACAAAGCGAATTGCATTCCTATTTGATTCAACTCTTACTGCCTTTTTAATGATGGGAAATCTTTCACCAGTAAGTCAGATTCTTTTTAAATAAAAATGTTTAAAATTAAGCTTAGTTACAAAATAATTCACTGCTTTTTTTTAAAAAAAAAATCCTTTTTAATCTTTTTCAAGTTCTATCTAGATTTATTCCTGAAAATGCAACTAATTTTGGTTTATATTCCTTCCAAACCAAACCTATTGCTTTCAAATTGAGTTCCAGCTCACAGCAACCCTATAGAACAGAGTAGAACTGCTCCTTAGAGTTTCCAAGGCTGTACATCCTTAGAGAAGCAGACTGCCACGTCTTTCTTATGTGGAGCGGCTGGTGGGTTTGAATCACTGTGCTTTTGGTTTGCAGCCAAGCACTTAACCACTGCACCACCAGGACTCCTGATTATGTTTCTTAGTGGGGTGTAATAACTTCTTCCTGAGGGTTACTTTTGTAATTTGAAAGATCAGCCCCTTATCTCACCCACACTTAGGTTTAAATATATTGGAAAGCACAATACAAATGTGTTATTAACATGAAAAGGGAAGACTAGCACTTTAAAGATAGGTTTGTATAAGGTAAGTATGAGTTAGTTACCTTATATTTGTTTTCTTTATTGCAGAACTTGAAAAGTCACGCAGTCACGATGTTTGAAGTTGGCAAGCTTTCAGATGAGTCTCTGGACAGCTTTCTCATAGAATTGGAAAAGGTACCTCTCGATTGCACGTTGTGGGGCTCTCAGGGTGTTCCCCACCTCATCTAACTGATAATGGCTTTCTGGTATATTCTTGCTCATTCCAACCCCATTCCCCACTTTAAGTATGTGGTATTATTTAGACTTAAACATACTGAGTAGATGAATGAATTTTGAGAGTCATCTACTCAGCATAATTTAATGTGATTATAAAGAAATGATTTAACAGAAATCTCAGTCTGTGTGTAACTTTTAAAAACGTTTCTAAAGTAGCCTTTCATCTTTATCTCTTGTGACTCCCTAAAATCACCTCTTCAGCAGTTCTCTTTGAAGTTTTTGTTCCACTTACTTTAAGTGTGGGACAATGTCCCTGGGTGTCGTAGTTATTTATGTCTACTCTCAATGTCCCTTGTAGCATCTTGAAGACTTCAGCTGTATTTACTCTTAACCACCTTCTTCCCCGTGAGTACAGCCCTAGTTTTCCTTAGCTCTAAATCTTAATTGCCCTTATTGGGGTTCCTTATGCCTGGAATTTTCTTCTATCCTGTTCTGCCTCTTTGTATGCAGTTTGTGTACCAGATCTGTTCTTTGACTAATAATTTTGGTGCCTTTTGTACTTAGTGGTGATTTGCATAGTAATGTGCTGTTTAGAGAATTTGTGATGATTCTGTTTTTTTTTTTTTTTTTTTAAATAAAAAGATTTACTGTACCATTTTTTTACTGCTTCTTCATAGGGTTTTCACTTTTATTAATGCAAAAATCCATTTGAAATAATTCTTAATTGGTCTGTTGCTTATTGTATACCCTCTTCTGCCAGTCAGTTCTTTACTGTGCTCTGGCACATTTTAAGTTCTGGCTTTCTGACCTTTATTTTTCTTACCTCAATGTCTTGTTTCAAATGTAGGAAGATAAGCAGATGGCTGTTTTACTCATTCATATATCTGAACTCCTTTTTTCCACATCTCATTCTTGGAAAAGCATTTTAATCTGGAGTTTCATTTTTGAAAATGGTTTCTTAATTATTTTTTAAGAAGCTTGATCTTGATTAAACCCAGTTGGTTGATCTTGTTAGGCAAGTTTAATTCAGTTTTTGCACCTGTAGACCGTCCTTTTGATTGCTGTGTTGTTTCTGGGATGTATGTGCTTTTACATATGGAACAGGTCTCAGTTCTGTCAGAAGGGCTTCATTAAAATGTAAGCCCCGTGAAGGCAGCGGTTTTGTCTGTTTTGTCCTCTGCTCCATGCATCTCTTAGACAGGTCATAGCCCATAGTAGGCACTTAGTAAATCCTTGTTCAATCATTATAAGCTGTTTTTCCAGGAGTGGTTGAATGGCTGTATTGAATCACATACTCCTTTGTCTCTTGTGACTAACCCATTGCTGAAACTTACTACTATCAACTCACTTCGAACTCATAGTGACCCTATAGGACAGAGTTAGAACTGTGCCATGGGATTTGTATGGCTGTAATCTTTATGAAAGCAGGCTGCCACATCTTTCTTCCATACAGTGGATAGTAGGTTTGAACTGCCGACTTTTGGTTGGCAACTGAGTGCTTAACCACTGCGCCACCAGGGCTCCTTTCGCCCGTGACTAGTGATACAAAATTGTGGCCAGAACGTTCAGAATTAGAGGTATAATTAGTGTCCATAGATGAGAGTACTTTTCTGAATGAAGCAGAAGATGGATCTTAGGGTTTTTTTTAATCACTCTCTCTGAATCATATCTGGGGCATATCTTGTATAAATGGTAGAATTTAGTATTATTCAGCTGCTAAAATTGTTAGGTTTACTTGTTGAAGTAATTTCTACCATCTTCATAGATGTAATCAAATTGGAAATTCATCTGAAATTGAGGATAATACTTGTTTCAGTATTAGCTGGGCATGTTTTTTATTTATTTTTAATAATGTCTGAATATCTCTGTATTGTATAGCTACACATCAAAGTACGTGGCATGGGAGTGGTAATTGTTGCATAATTTATCTTCTTTTGGTTTAGGTTCAGAGCACTGGTGAAGGAGAAGCACAGAGATACTTTGATCATGCACTTACTCTGAGAAACACAATACTGTTTTTGCGTCATAATAAGGATCTAGTTGCACACACGGCACAGCCAGACCAACCCAATTACGGTATGATCAATTTACTTAATTTCGAAGACATGATTTTATGAAAAGTCTTTCTAAGAAATTCAGCAGAGCATGTTCGCTAATTTAATCATCACTTCTTTAATCATTTTGTGTAGACAGCATATAGAATTTATAATGAGAGCCTTATTTTATTTATTTTGCTTTGTTTTATTTCTTTGCATGTCATCTGTTTCTTACCTTATTTTACTTTTTTGTTCTCTTCTCATGTGCCACTCACTTTTGTAGCCTTGAAATCTGTCTAGTACCTACAGAAAGGGTTGGATTGTTAATTTCTTAAATTAGCTGAATGGCATTGAGAGCAGGCATCAGTTCTACGTGGGTGAGCAGATGTCAGAATTTAGTTAATTTAGGAGGCATAAAATTTCAAGGACAAAAGCATCTGTTATTTGAAAATACCCAGATGCTGCTACAATAGTTTCCAAAATACTTCACTTTAAAAAAAATACAAAGAAGACAAGATCATTTCCTTTTAAAGGGTAGAAGGACGAAGCAGTAGCAACTTTAAAGTCTTGACTGATGAGCCCTAATGTGGTTGCCGCTCCTGTAGGAACTTTCTGTTTTATGGTAGGTGGTTGTTGGATGCTGCTGAGTAGGTTCCAACTCACAGTGATGCTGTGTGACAGTAAAACTGCCCCCAGGGTTCTCTGGGCTGTAATCTTTACCATCTGTGAGCAGATCACCACCGCTTTCTCCCATGTGGCTGCTGGGTGGGTTTGAACTGTCAATCTTTCGGTTAAGTGCTTAACCATGCCTCATTGTGGTAGGTAGGGATTCCAAGCTTTAGTTGGCTGATGGTATCAGAATTTTCCCAGAGATTCTGATTCAGTGGGTCTTGAGGTCTGGAATGACAACCCAGGAATGTTTATTTTTCGAAAGATAATTCGCAAGCCAGTGATTGGAAATTGCGGGAGAGAAGACACAGCTTTCTCATGGCTCTTAGACTTTCAGAATGTGCCACCTTCGGGAGTGATGAAGAATAGAGAGGGAGTCAGGTATAGCCAGCCCATTCTTGCCTCTTGTAAAGTGAAAGGTGGCCTGAAGCCTCGGTGGCACTGTTACCCTTCTAGACCAGAAAATGGAGACTGTCAGTTTAAGATCAGAAAGTGTTTCAGTGATCTGTTTAGGAAATTTGGCACTTAATAGAATTGTCCTAACTTTTAAAAAGAATTTACAATCTAAAGGCGGCTGTCACTATTTTACCTTACATGTTTGTTTCTCAGTATTGGTCTTTCACTGTGTGTGTGTGCTTGATGGTAATTCAGGTTTTCCTCTGGATCTCTTACGCTGTGAAAGCCTCCTGGGTTTGGATCCTGCGACTTGCAGCAGAGTTCTGAACAAAAACTACAGTCTTCTCGTTTCCATGGCGCCTCTCACCAATGAAATCAGGCCCATCAGCAGCTGCACCCCTCAGGTACAGACCCACGTGGAAGATCACTTATGCATGGTTTCATTCTCTCTCGTGGTGACTTGAAGTGATCTAGCAGTCCTATTCCATTAACTCTCAACTTGCAGATAGCAACTTCTAAAAGCACCAACTCAGATAGCAATTTTATTTTTTATGCTGTTGTAAGATGATGTTATGTTCAATTTCTGAGGTATAATTGGTATATTTTATTTATGTGTCATCTAGTGGCTTGTGACACATTAGATTAAAATTTTATTCACAGATGCAGTATTTTAAGGAGAATGTTCTTGGATGCTCTGAGAAAGAAGCCTAGGTTGTGTTGAGGAATGAAAGAAATTTAATTAGGAAGATTGTTGAGAAATGAGGCTATGATACTAAGAAAGCTGAAAAGAAAATATTGTGTTTGAGAGCTAGAACTCTAGTTATCTCAGTGTAGAATTTACATGTGAAGATTGCTTCTGCTGTTGTACTTTTTAAAAATAAGTTATTTGCATTTAAAAATAGTTGCATTAAATGTGTTTGCTCAGCAGGAAAGTCATGGCCTCTACCAGTTCAGAGTGAGGATTATGCTGCTGCTTGTCAGTCTACATGCTCCCTGGTTGTCCAGAAGAGTACAGAGGATAGAAGGAAGGAGGGGCTGTGGTTGTAGTGGCTGCCTTGTGGTAGCAGTGCTTGGAGGTAGTGGTTGCCTGTGCAGTACTAGCTGCGTCAACACGCAGCCTCTGTCCTCCGTGTTCAACAAGAGTGCACTTACCAACCTTTTTAAAATACGTATTTGTCTCCATCCCATCTCCCCCACCTTCCTTCTATTCTTTAACACAGCTTCTAGGCATAGTAGGAATCCATTAACTGTCTAAATGTGGTAAGATCAATGGATGGATGGATGTTGTTGTTGTTATTTGCGATCGAGTCGGCCCCGACTCATAGCGACCCCACCTTGGGTTTCCAAGGCAGTATCACTACGGAAGTAGGAATGCCCAACCTTCCTTCCGAGGAGTGGATGGATGGATAGGTGGTCCCTTTTATGAAAAATTGTACGTCATTAATGATAGTAATAGCCAAAACTTTGGTATAGCACTTATATGCCAAGTGCTATTTTAAGCCTTTCTGAACAACCTTGCAGCACCCTCATGCAGTGGATATTTTATTGCCATTTTACAGATGAACAAAATGAGGCAGAGTGGGGTTCAGTTACATTCTTAAGGTGGTATGTTTGGGATGATGGAGTCAAGAGTCAAGCTTGGGCAGTGTGCTTCAGAGTCCATGCTCCTAATGGCTGTGATTGGACATGCTTTCTTAATTCCAGTATAAAATTGTAACCATTTGAATAGAGCATTTAAAATTTCTTTCCCAAAAGGATCATAGAAATTGCCATTGATATGAGGCACTAGCTATTTATATAAGGCTATACTTACTCACTTGGGGAGTTTGGCTAATTTAGATAAGCATTACTACTTACCTGTTTTGTGATTGTAGCATATTGGACCAGCTATCCCAGAAGTCAGTTCTGTCTGGTTTAAACTGTACATTTACCATATCACTGGGCAAGGACCACCATCCCTCTTACTGTCCAAGGGTACAAGACTTCGAAAATTGCCAGATATATTCCAGGTATGTTGTGTAAGGTGCCCCTCCCCCCTCCCTTGAGGAGGGTAGAAATTGTTGAGCAGTATTATAGATTGTTTTTTAAACTGTTTTCTTATTTCAAAGTGCCATTTTTGTCTCACTTCTTTTTTCATGTAGGGTTATGATCGATTACTAATAACGTCTTGGGGTCATGATCCCGGGGTAGTTCCTACTTCAAATGTGCTCACAATGTTGAATGATGCTTTAACACATTCTGCAGTTTTAATTCAGGTACTATTATCTTACTTTAAATAAAATGGATTTTGTTTTTTAGATCGTAGTTTGCTAGTCATTTGAAATTTGTAAAGCTGGAACGTAAGAAATCAGAGAGCTAGGTTTTGGTCCTGACTCTTTCTGTAGCAGTGAGGGTTGGTAGAAACAACATAGGCTTTGAAGTTAGAATCAGATTGAATTCAGCCTCACCTTTTGTTAGCTGTCTGACCATTTATAAAAGCACAAAGCCAAAAAAAAATTTTTAATTGAGATATAATTCATGTACCATATAATTCACTCCTTTAATGTGCGTAAGTCAGTGGTGGTTAGTAAATTCATAGATATGTGCAGCCTTTAACACAATCAAGTTTTGCATTTCTCATAAACTCAGAAAGAAACCCTCTTCTCTCCTTTTCCCTAACCCTAAACAATCACTAATCTATTGTCTCCTTCCCTAGAATTGTCTGTTCTGAATATTTCTTACACATTTTAGGGTTGTACCATTCTGCTCTTAAAGAGTATTGGCAAGATAGTTTTCTGGAATTTGCCTTTTTCTGCAAAGATCTGATAGCATGAGAAAATCTGTTTAAGACCTTTGAAAGAGTCCTGTCTGTCCTGCTCCGAGATGATCTGGAGAATTAATCAGACCCTGGAGCATGACATACCTTGCATGCCCTGCTACAGTGCTTTGACTTTAACCTATAGGTAATGGCAACCAGCACTGGCTGCTAAGTAAGCAGGGCATTAACATGTCAGTTGTGTTCTAGGAAGATCAGTTTGAGCACTGTGTTGAGAATGGGTGGATACCTGAAGCAAGATGACCAATTGAGATTCTGTGTATTAGTTTGGATAAGAGATGAGGGGACATCCCAGATCAGAGAAGTGGTAAAAAGAATAGAAAGGAAAAGATGCATTTTAAGAAATACTGTGAATATTTCTGTAGCTACATTAAAAAATGATATACTGTAATTTATTTAACCAGTCTCCTATTGATAGGCATTTTGTTCTTTCCAGTTATTTATAATTATAATGTTATAGCAAATAACTTTGTATGTATTTCAGTGCTAGTTTTTGGGTTTTGGATTCCTATTCCGTGGTATGCCACGTGATTCTGGGGATTCTTCCACCACTTTTCTCCAGAACCGTAGCTAACCCTTATGCAGGTGCACAGGGACATCATCCAGTCTTCTCTTGGCTGACCTGTTAAATCACCCTGTTTTTTTTTTATTAGCCCATGACCCACTTTGAGAAACATTTTCTTAAAAGTTAATATACATGTAAGATGTTTTCACTTGCCATAGAAAATTATTGAAAGCATTTTGTTAGAGTATTAATGTGGACTGTCACATGCACCATCATTTATTTTCTGAATACTGATTATTGGAAATACAGGTTTTTAATATCTTATCAACTTTTTTGTTTCTTTATGTTTAGGGACATGGTTTGCATGGGATAGGAGAAACTATCCATATACCATTTCCATTGGATGAGACAGAACTACAAGGAGGTACTTTACTTCTGAATTGTATCCATTTGACTTCTTTTTCCTTAATAATGACAATAATTTGATGGAAAACAGAGCTGGAAGGGACTTCTTAAAATCTTTAGGTTTTAGGGCTTTATCCTTGTGCTATTAAAACATATTGGCAAAGGATAGTTTTCTGTCGTGTGCCTTTTCCCACAAAACTGGATAGAATGAGAAGACCTGTTTAAGACCTTTGGAAGAATACTCTGTCTTAGAGGTAAGGAGAGTGAGTAGATAGGTACCTGCCTTGAGGGAGGACACGATTTTCTGTGTGCGCAAATTTTTAGTTTCCTTGTGTTGTATGCGTGGAAGTTGGAGTTGGAGAAAAGATAAATTATAGGAAGTATTTTAGGCTTAGGAAGCTGATTTTTTTCCTACCATTACATAGTGTTTTTTGTGGGGAAGAAGAGGAGGTCTTTTTAAAGTATCTGTCTTAGTTTATAGTGCTACTATAATAGTGATACCACACTGTGTGTGTGTATGTATATGTGTATATATATGTACACACACACACACACACACATATATTGCATATACACCAGCCACTCCTCGGAAGGAAGGTTGGGCAATCTACTTCCGTAGTGATGCTGCCTCGGAAACCCAAGGAAGGGTCACTATGAGTTGGGTCTGACTCGACAGCACATAACAACAACATATATGGGATGGCTTTAAAAAAACAACTGTATTCTCTCACAGTTCGGGAAGCTAAAAATCCAAATTCAGGGTGCCACCTCTAGGGGAAGGCTTTCTCTCTGTTGGCTCTGGCAGAAGATCTTTGTCTCCTTTCAACATCTCTGGCCTGGCATTCTTTGGAGATTGCCATATGTCTTGGCATCAATCTTCCCCTGAGTTTAGAAGCTTCTCAGTGTAGGGACCTCAGGTCCAAAGGACATGCTTTGCTCTCAGCTCTGTTTTGTTGGTGGTTATGAGATCTCTCCCTCTCTTCTCCCTTTTATTACTTGTAAGATAGAAGTTGAGGCAGGCCACACCCCAGGGAAACTCCCCTTGTGTTGAATCAGGGCTATGACCTGAGTAAAGGTGTTACATCCCACTCTAATTCCATTATAACTGATTGGCTAGTCACATCAGATCCCATCATGGGGGAAGATTACATCATTACATGACTAATAAATTACATTTTTCCAAACCACTGAGAATCATGGCTTACCAGGTTGACGTTTTGGGGGACATAATTCAATCTGTGACATTTCATCCTTTGGCCCCCTAAAATTCATGTCTTTGCCATGTGCAAACACTTTCACCCCATCATACTATCCTAAAAATGTTAAATCTAAGTCCAGATTCCTTCATAGGGCTAAATTTTTCTTCATTTCTGAATCTAGCCTATGAATTATCTGCTTCCAAAGTAGAGTTGTGGAACAGGCACAAGGTGGACATTTCCATTACAAATGGGAGAAATCAGAGTGAAAGAAGGGATAAGAGGTACCAAGCAAGTCCAGAACCTAGCAGAACAATTTGCAGTAGTGCTCAAAGCTTGAAAATAATCCCCTGTTCTCAGTCCATCTAGGTAGTGGCCCTGCCCTCCAGATTCTAGGTGTTGGCCTTGCTCTTTGAATTCTGTGTAGAATCCAAAATCCCTTGGCCCTGGGCTTCAGCCCTGTTTTCCAGTCCCCTGGGAGGGCAACTCTGCTCCCTTGACTTTGAGCAGACCCATTCTCCCAGTCTAGCTGAGTGGCAACCCCACCCTTCAGCCCTGGCAGACCCTGTTCTCCCCCATGGGCATGGCAACTCTTCCCCCTCAGCTTTGGGTAGTCGCTTTAGCCACACCCCCTGTCAACGGCAGCCCCAAACTCTCAGGCAAAGTTGGTGAAAATCTGACTCTGAAGGCTGGGAGGCTGTAGCCTCACCTTTGGAGACCCACAGACTGTGATTCCACCCTTTGAGACCCCAAGCTGTGGCCCTACTCTTTGAGAATGAAGCAGCACTGCTTCCCAGGCTCCATGTCTCTTCACTTCTGTTTCCTGGTTACTTGGCCTCTCGGCCCCTCAGGCCTCTTGAGTTAGCCTGGCCTCTGCCCGGCTTGGGCAAGTGTTAAAAAAGATCTTTAGCTCTACTGGTAAATGCGTCGAGGCACTCCACTCTGTTAGCAAGCTTCAGCATGAAAGTGCTTAGCTCTCTCACTCCATTGGTTGGCAAAATCTAGCTGTGTTGACAAGTGTCCAGAGGCACCCGTCTGCCATTGAAAGCCTCCTGTCCAGAGGCACTTAACTCTCCTGCTCCATGGATTGACTCCTGACTGTATTGCATGGGGCTCCTGGTTCTGTTGCTGCTATTTCTCTGCCTCTACTTCTCACTGTCTGCATCATCTCTGGTGTTGTAGCTCTCTTTACGTCCTTCTGAACTCTCACCAGTTACCATTTATGCCCATAATTCCATAATGCCTTTTCAAGGCAATCTAGGCACTTACTGTTGGGTACCTTAAAACTCTTCCAGCCTCTACTCATTACCCACTTCCAAAACCACGTCCGCATACAGGTATCTGCTAGAGCAGCCCCCCACTCATGATACTCATGATACCAAATTCTGTCTTAGTTCTCTAGTGCACCTGTAACAGAGGTAACACAAGTGAATGGCTTTAACAGATGACTTTATTCTTTCACAGTTTAGGAGGGTAGAAGTCCAAATTCAGCACACTAGCTGTAGGGGAAGGCTTTCTCTCTCTGTCAGTTCTGGGGGAAGGGCTTCACCTTCTTTCAAAATCTGTGTGCCAGGTGTCCCTTGGGATTGCCATGTGTCTTGGCACCAGTCTTCCCCTAAGTCTAGGAGGTTGTCAGCCCAGGGACCCCCAGTTCAAAGAATGTGCCCTGCTCCCAGTTCTTCTTTCTTGGTGGCCATGAAGTCCTTCCCCCTCTCCTCCCTTCTTTCTCTGTAAGATAAAGGGTGATGCAGGAAACTCTTCTTGTATCAGATTAAGGATGTGACCTGGGTAAGGATGTTGCATCCTATACTAATCCTCTTACAACTGATTGGCTGATTGCTTCAAATCACATCATGGGGGATGGTTACATCATTACATAACCACTGGATTACTTCACTATGTAACTGCCAGACCACTGAGAATCATGGCCCAAATTGACACATATTTTGGAGGGACACCATTCAGTCCATGATAGTATCCAAAGTGAAATTTACCTCCTCATTTTACAGATTAATCATTTTGCATATGTGTACAATGTATACATACAGACTGCTACTAGAACTTCAATGACTTCATATTTTAATTTTTTTTAGTCAGGTTTTATATTATTATTATTACTATTATTTTAGCTAATTTAGAACTGGATACTAATAAATATTTGTATACTACCTTAACATTTATAGATCACTCAGCATGTGTTTCCTGTTTCCACATTTATTTTTACAGTTATATTTTCCTTTTGCTGTTAGGATTTGGGTGAATGCAGGGTTTTGAGCTGTAATCATGTAAGCTAGGATCAAGGATGGCAGGGGAAAGTACTGTGTATTATTTTCTCTAGAATTGTGGGTGAACTAACCTACATTTGATGAAAGATAGAGAATTCCTGTGAAAGCAAGTTCTTTTTCCTTGTAGTAACATAGAAGAGAGCTTTTCAGTGTTGAATATGAAGAAACTGTGTTTTCAAAAGAAAAATTCCATCTGATTAAGACTTTGGTGTATTTATTTAGCACTTCTGTTTACTACTCCATGCAAAGCTGCTGTGCTGTCATCTAACCTGGTTTTAGAGCTGTATTACATGGATGTTAGAGCAGTGAATAGCTCAAGTAATTCAACTTACATGAAGTGATAGAAGAACTTCTGTTTTATCACAGTATTAGCCATTGCTGTCACCTACTTTATCAGCGTCATTGTCTTTTCACGGCTCGACTGCAGAAGCTTCATGTTTGAATGTAAATGCTTCTTTCTGTCTGTTAGGAATAAATGTGAAGAAACTTGAGTTTTCTCTTCCAAAGAGTATCCTCTATTCAGAAATAAATATTTTTTCTGAAACCAAACCTTGTCATTTAATCCTATAATACTTTATAAATTCTACATGAAAAAAATCATTGTCTGCCTGAAGATACAAAATAGTGGCAACAAGATCTTAAAATTTATAAAATCTCAAAAATTGATTAGTGAATTCTTTGCCTTGGGAGATTATTGTATGAATTTAAAAAAAAAAAAAAAAAAGAGGTATATTCATATTTGGGAAGGAGCCCTGGTGGTACTGTGGTTAAAACATTGGACTGCTAATCAAAAGGTGGGTGGTTCAAACCCACCAGCTGCTCCACAGGAGAGAGATGAGGCAATCTGCTTCCATAAAGATTTACAGCCCGGGAAACCCTGTGGGGCAGTTCTACTCTGTCCTTTGGGCCACTGTGAGTTGGAATTGACTCGATGGCAGTGAATTTGGTTTGGTTTTCGTATTTAGGTAGCAGAAAAAAATAAACTGTTGCCATTAAGTTTATTCTGACTCGTAGCAACCCTGAAGGACAGAGCAGAACTTCCCCATAGGCTTCCAAGGCCATAAATCGGTACAGAAGCAAACAGTCGTGTCTTTCTCCTGCAAATCAGCTGGTAGGTTTAAACCACATATTTTGGTTAGCAGCTGAGTGTTTTAACCCTTGTGCTACCAGGGCTCATTTGGGTATAAAATATCTGTATAACTTCACACATTTATGAGGACTTGAGATAATCACTAATTGATTAGAGATATAGTTGTAAGTATATTGTTAGCTATAGATTCAATATGAATAATTGCACTTTTTCTGAAGTTGAAAGAACATGTAATGTGTATTTAATAAATTTCCTAGTCTACTCTCCAAGTAAGTATTTGAGACAAACTGGAAACACAGAGAAACCTGGAGAATGTACCACTGATGGCCCCTCTTTTTTCTTTTTTAAAAATTTTTATTATTATTTTTTATTGTGAACGGTGAAAATTTACAGAGCAAATTCACTTTCCATATAGCAGTTCACATACACTTTGTCTCATGACATGACATTGACCACAATTTACCACAATGCTGATGGGGCCCCTCTTAGCTTACATAAAAACACATAACTTGTTCTCATACAACAAATGCCTCCTGGAAACTGTAATTACATTATATGTGCACAACATCCTTTTGCATTCACAGATACTTCATCATTGAAATGAATCTTGATAGATAAAAATAAGTTGTTATTGTTAGGTACCATTGAGTCGGCTCCAACTCATAGTGACCCTGTGCACAGCAGAATGAAACACTGCCCGGTCCTGTGCCAGCCTCACAATCCTTGCTGTACTCGAGCTCATCATTGCAGCCACTGTATCAGTCCATCTCGTTGAGGGTCTTCCCCTTCTTCGCTGACCTTCCCCTTGACCAAGCATGATGTCCTTCTCCAGGGAATGTTCCCTTCTGACAGCATGACCAAAGTAGGTGAGATGAAGTCTGGCCATTCTCACTTCCAAGGAGCATTCTGGCTGTACTTCTTCCAGGACAGATTGGTTTGTTCTTTTGGCAGTCCATGGAACCTTCGGTGTTCTTCGCCAACACCACACCTCAAAAGCTCTTCTTCGGTCTTCCTTATTCATTGTCCAGCTCTCATATACATAGGAGGCGATTGAAAATACCATGACTTGGGTTAGGTGCATATTAGTCTTTAAGGAGACATCTTTGTTAGGTGCATATTAGTCTTTAAGGAGACATCTTTGCTCTTCAGCACTTCAAAGAAGTCTTTTCCAGCAGATTTGCCCAGTACAATACATTGTCTGATGTCTTGACTACTGCTTCCATTGGTGTTGATTGTACAACCAAGTAATATGAAATCTTAACAATTTCAGTCTTTTCTCCATTTATAGATAAAAGTATAAACCAGTATAAAAGTAGTTCTAAGAATTGTTTAACAAAGGAAAAGCATATTTAAGTGTTTGGTGTTCTGTTCCAAGACTGTTCACTGAACTGTATCAATTCTTTGTTCTTAGAGTTTACTCGTGTCAATATGGGTGTTCATAAAGCATTACAAGTCTTAAGGACCAAAGTGGACTTGCAGCATTTCTGTGGCTATGTCACCATGCTGAATGCTTCTAGTCAACTTGCAAGTAGAAAACTCAGTGACGCTTCAGATGAGAGAGGTTAGTCAGCACCTTGTTTTGAATGGAAATAATTGGTTTTGAGTTTAACGTAATCTTAATCTGACTGTGGGTTTCCATGGGGATGGTCGTGTGGAAGACATATAGAAGTGGTTTGAACAGAAGCTAGGATATCAGCTAAGATATTTCAGTAATGATCTCAGCAAAAGTCTAAGCTTGTGTTTTACGTTTTCCGTCTTGGTTATGTTAGGCCAGGGTTTCTTCGTGTCTGCAGTATTTATACTTTGAGCTGGTTGGTTCTCTGTTAGAGGAGGCTGTGCATGCATCGTGGGATATACAGCATCCTTCAGTAACAGTACCATCCTCCTCCTCTGGTCATGATGACCCAGCACATCTTCAGATAGTGCCAGTGTCCCCTGGGAACAAGATTGCCCCAACTAAGAACCATGGCATTAGGGCAAAGACTGTTCATTTTCTTCCTCATTATCATTACTATGCCCGAAGTCCTCTTTATGGACTTAACTGACAATTTATTGATATAATCCACCCAAATGTCTCCTCCACACCACCCCAAAGAGCCGTAATCAATGATGCTCTTTTCTGCTATACCCGCCAGTCTCAGAACTGTTATAACATTGCCTCTCAGCAGCCATTCCCACGGGATCAGATTGGCATATGAGATATTTATTGACAATTTATGCTGGCTTCTAGAACCCTAACGTTGTGTGTGTCCTCTGAATTACAAGGAGAACCTGATTTGGCTTCTGGCTCAGATGTAAATGGGAGCACAGAGTCATTTGAAATGGTCATTGAGGAAGTGACTATAGATTCAACAATGAAGCAAAACTCTGGTAAGACTTTAAAAGTTATTTGTAATCTTATTAGACTGCTTTCTGAATTTTAGCTTTTCTGTTAAGTCATTTGGATGTCACTCGTCTGTTTTTATTATCCATAATGGACCTTTTATAGGCATTTTCTTAGAAATTTTTTGTACATTGGGAAGTTTTATAAAAATACCTGAAAATAATGGCTCGACTTTCATTATTCCTGTATTAAGTATTTTGGTCTGTTCTCTCATATTGTAGATGTCTTGTAATATCCTTTCTGGGCAGAAGACTACTTTGTGCATCTGTTGAATACTTTTTCCCCAGAAACATGTACATACTCCAAAAATACTGATCCTATTTCAAATATTCAGTGGCCTCCTCTGAGCCCTTCCCCTGCCAAACCTCTTGGTGGATAGCACTTGGGCAGGAGGAAGCGGTGGACCTCAGGCTAAGAACCCTAGTCAGTAGTGAGAGGCCCATGTCGGTTACAATAATGCGCTTACGTGTCCTCTTATAGCTGCTACAACAGAAGCGGATTGGGTTCCTCTCGAATTGTGCTTTGGAATTCCACTCTTTAGTTCTGAGTTAAATCAGAAAGTTTGTAGGAAAATTGCTACACATGGCCTTTGCAGAAAAGAGAGGTGAGTATGTATTTATTGTCATCTTTTTATCTCCTAGGTTTTTTTTAAAACCAAGTAGTTACTGTATCTTACTTTCTTTTGTTCCAAACAGAGTAATTACTTGTATATATTTGTTGATTGAATGAAAACTGCTAGTTTAAAGGATTTGAACTTAAGTAGATCAGAAATAAGGCACACAGAAACATTTTAGGCATAATGTTTTGGGTAATTACAATTAATAGTATATTTACTTATTTACCCAGTTTCCACGAGTGTGGTAAAATGGTCATGTGTATGGAATATGATCCTAGTATTTTTAATATATAACTGTTCACAGAAAATTCCTCTTGTGTACTTTTCCTTCTCGCCTTTTTTAAAAAACTTTTTATTTATTTTGTTTTTGTGGTTGAGAATATACACAGCACGACATACACCAATTCAGCAGTCCCTGCATGTGCCACTCAGTGACTCTGATGACATTCTCTGAGTTGTGCAGCCATCCTCCTCATCCTCCTTTTCTGGGTTGTTCCTGCCCCAGTCGCCTTCTTAGGTTCCTGTCTCATCTTTTGAGTTGCTGTTATCAATTCGATCCCATAAAATTGTTCTTAAAAGAGCATAGTGCTAAAGGCAGACATTCTTTACTAGTTAAGCTAAACTGTTGTTTAGTTTTTGTTTTTTTGTTTTGAGAAGACTGCAGGGGATATTTTTGGTTTAAGGTTTAAAGATTATTTCAGGGCAGTAGTTTCAGGGGTTCATCTCATCTTCATGGCTCTAAGAAGTCTAGAGTCCATGAGAATTTGAAGTGCTGTTCTATATATTCCCCCTTTTGATCCAATTCTGGTCTCAAGGCAAAGGAGGCAGTTCTTCATGGAGGCAATTAACCACACACACTTAAGTTATGTTGATAGTAATTATCTCTTGCAGTGGGTTTCCATATTTTCTTCACTCTGCGCATTTTCTAAAATAGGCATGTATTATCAGAAACGACATGTAGGTTTTATCTCATATGGCAATCTGTCCTCATGGGAATGGCTGCTAAGAGGCAATGTTGTAACAGTTCTGAGACTGGCGGGGTTAGCAGAAAAGAACATCATTGAATATGGTTGTCTTTGGGGTGGTGTGGAGGAGACATTTAGGTGGATTATATCATTATATCAGAACATGGCAGTGCTCAACTGACAAATACTTTTAACATCCATCCTCTGAAAAAATAACATACATGGAAAAGGGGAAATACTATAAAATTGTAAAGATCACCATTATAATTGTTAACATTTTACATATTTTAAATTAAAAGATTTAATTTGGGTGAGATGATGAGTGTTAAATTTTATCAGGTTGTAGTTTTAAATTGATCTGGATATTTGACATTTGTTTCATAGGTGCCATCCCTCAAAGTGCCTAAGTCTTCACTTTCAGTTTTCTTTCAGTTAATAGTTTATATCTGATAATAACTTCGTCTTTTTTACCCAGTAACTTTTCTGCTTTGGGTAGTACATGTTGTTTCATTCATTATGTATTATTATTACTAAACCATGCAGAAATTTTATTGACCAGAAGCATTGGAGTTGTTTTTCAGAGAATTTGGTGTTTAGTAGGATATATATACACACATATATAAATGTATTTAATTGCTAAAATTAAACTGTTGTGAGATATTCGTTGTCATTGTACTTATTTTTATCTGCCTTTTCCCCTTTTTCCAGCCTTCAAAACCTCTTACATTCCAGTAGAAAACTCTCTCTACAAGTCCTTAACTTTGTTCACTCATTCCAGGTAACAAAAGATCCCGTGTTTTATAGCACCTTATAGTCTATCAGACATTTCTGTGTTTGTTTTTAAGTCTCCACAACAGCAGCACATGAAAGAAGTATTATCTTCATTTTATAAATAAAGCTTCTGGGATTCATAGTTGACAGGCTTGCACATGATGCCACTGGCCAGCTCTTCTGTCTGCAGCTTGGGGCCTTATTCTGTACCATGCTTCATTCAGCAGAAATGTGCCAGGCAACTCCTGTGGCCACCATGTGCAAGGGCTGGTTCTCAGGTGTGGCACACTTTGCTTAATACAACTGCGCTGTGGGTAGTGAAGGCCAGTGCTCGGTATCCTTTGTCCTTTCTGCCCCCTGAAGGAAAGAAAGGATGCTCTAGACTTGGTATGTAGATAGACTCTTCGAATGGAACAGTTATGTTCAGAATATATGATCCAGCATTAGGAAATGTTCAGTTTTTTGAAGTTTTGTTTCATTCACCATTCATTAAATATGCACATCACTCTGTGCCAGACCCTGTACCAGGTGCTGGGGAAACAGTGATGTAGGAGACACTAAGGTAGCTGACAGTGTTATATGAAGGAGACTAATTAAGTCAACGTTAAAACATGTAAATGATTACAGATTTTGGTAAGTGCATTGAAGGAGTCAAATGATGGCGAAGCCAAAAAAAAAAAAAAAAAAAAAAAACAGAAAAACCTGCCATTCCAACTCATAGTGAGACTGTAAGACAGAGTAGAACTGCTCCATAGAGTTTCCAAGGCTGTAAATCTTTACAGAAGCAGACAGCCTTGTCTTTTTCCCGCAGAGCGTCTGGTGGGTTCTAACCACTGACTTTTGGTTACTAGCCCAATGGTTTAACCACAGCACTACCAGAGCTTCTATAATCCAAAGACAGACCTAATTTAAATAGATACAGAGATGATATATAAGCTGAAACCTAAAGGATGGAAAAGCGTATTCCAGGCAGGGTTTGGTAGCAGATCCTGTGTCAAGAGAGTACTTGGTGTGCCAGGAAATGAAAGAATGCCAGTGGTGAGGTTGAGGGGGAGGGGCTTGTGGAGTATATGAAAGAGCTTGGGTTTTATGCTGAGTGCAGTGAGAAGCTATTAAAGGCTTTTAAACAGGAGAGAGCCATGTGACTTCTGATTGACTGTTTTAAGCTATTAGTTACTATTTGGAGAATAAATTAGAAAGGGGAAAGAGGGGAAGCAGGATCAGTCAGGAGGCTGTTGTGGTTGTCAAGTGAGAGACAGACATTGGTAGCTGAGTACTCTTCTCCATTAGAAAAACATTTGCACGTATCCATAATGGGGTGTGTTAAGTACATATACACTTATACTGATTGATTACTTTTATTCTAAAAATATACAAAAAGAAATTGTGTAAGAATGCAGTAAATCAGTAACTAGAGAAATGCTAATGCTGTTTTCATTCCCTTCTTAATGATGCCCCTGAACCTAAGTGGGAAAAGGGTCCTTGCTCAGGTCTTCAGGGTCCCTCTTTCTCATTAGCTGTATGCAGTGGTTTTACTTGATATTGACTGGAATTTTCTCACATTTCTTCATCTCTTAGGAAAGTGCTTCAACACTGGATATTCACGGTGAGGCTAGTTTCCCAAGTTTGTTTTCACAGTCGTCGTATGCCGATGCGGGAGTTCCACTTCCAGCCAAGAACTTGATATTCAAAGATGGAATCCTGTCAGAGTGGAGTGGACGGTCACCGTCCTCACTTCTTATAGCGAACCTCCATTTGCAATAATTTGGTTGCAGCCTTCGTCGCTCCCACGTTCTGCCTCTTTCTTTCTCAGCTTTAGCTTTATAGGGCCAGCCCCTAGACAGCATCCTGCTGCTGCAGTGCAGTTCATGCTCCAGTGATGTTCAAAGTTTGGGGAACATGGTGATGTTTGCTGAAGTTTTGTTCATTTTTGCACATCCTAATGCAACAAAGAGCTTCTGAGCAACCAGCACTATACTTTGTACCTTGAGACAATCTGCATTTCTTTTATAAAACTGAAGACATACTTTATAGCTTTCTGATGACTGTGTGTTTATAAGCAGTCACTACGAATATTGCAGTGGTAATTTTATATGTTAGTTTATCAAACATAAACCTTGTTTAATTTTATATTTTGTTACCTACATTCTAGGGGATCATGGGAAGAGATGGAACTCTTCCTCTGAAAAAGGTTTCTTGATACTTAAATTAGCAAAACTGTACAACAGTGAACATCCAGTACCAAGAGATGATATGATGGGCATTAAGAGTACCTGTGGACGTCTATAAATTACGTACCTCAGTTGAGCAGTGTTGAAGGTGTGTAAGTCAGCATAGTTACCTGTAACTTAACCTTGACTTACACGGTTGTAATGATTCATTGACATCTTACAAAAAGCTTTGGAAAACATTCTATTTTTAAACAGTGTTTGTATGTGGATTTCTGTTGTCACTCACTTTGGGCTTTATATTTTTCATAGAGTCTTTACAGAAAAATCAGTTATTTTCCCTCCACTTTAGTAGCTGTGGCTGCTGCATGTCTTCACCCAATTTTTGTTTAGTAGCTGTACCAATGAATTGTTATGAAACTGAATTTGATGTTTTCAAACCAAGAGTTGTGATTTAGGTCAGAATTACGCATTAGAAGCACTACGGCTCTGTCTTCTGATCAGAACACTCTAATAATAAGCCTGCTGTGAAGACACATTCTTAAACAATCTGGATCTTAAATTTATGTGTGTAGTTTCTGAGGATAAGGAAAAATTGAGTAATTTCTAAGTGTTTCTTGGGCCATTGATCCTTTTAGTATCTCAAACGTTAATTAGAATAATTGGAATCACTTTTTAGATTTTTCAGGTTACCTTCCTTAGGAAGTTTGTGCAGTGTTAACATTGAGTTTAGCTCCTCTAGAGTAATAATTGTTTGCTAGTTTAAAACTGTAACCAAACTAACTGGTCAGGTAGTGTGTATCTAAAACACTTAAAGCATTAGAAAGTTTGGGAATGTTGTAAACATTTTTTGCTGATAATTTTTTGTTGTTTATAGAACTGATATTTGTGTATTTAACATACTTCTGGAAATACATGCCTTTCTTAAAACTGTTAAGCTAACCATGCATTCAGTACCGTGGCCTATCTGTAGAACTGAGTATTCTGGACCAGGCTACCTGTGGCACAGCCCGTGCTGCGTTTGGGATAAGTGGAGTAATGTTTAGTTTTCTGCTTTGTCGTATATGAGGTAGAAACCGAGTGTATGTTATAAATGTTTGTGTACAAGAGGAAAAATACATACCAATATTAATTTCTTATGACTGTGAACTACTCACTGAGTTTTCCACTAATTGATACTATACATTCCTAGTGCTGTTAGATGTGTATGGAACTTCTACAGTTTTTCAGCTGAAAGTTGTAAAGTACTTCATTTGATCAAAGTTTTTTAATCTCATTTTCATTTGCTTTGTTCAGAATAGCTGTAGTTATTTTATTTATTCATGTATTAACAATCTTAAGTCTAATGGAATGACATGCACCCTAATAAAGAATGAATATTTGTAGTTGTTGGCAGTGAGCCTAGTTGTTGATGAATTTTAAAGCATAAAATATGAGAATGATAAGCTGCTTGCTATGTTTCCTTTGAGAGAGAGATAATGGAGGAAAAAAATGAACCTAATAAGATCATGAATTTTAGAGAAAGTATTTAAAAATGTGTCAGTTTGGTTTGTATGTAAGGAGAGATTGTCTGATTTCGGACGGATGCTCATACTCACAGGGAGGGAGGATCGCGTCGTGGTAGCAAAGTGTAAGGCCTGCTGCTCTTTGTGTTCACTTTGTGAATTTGTCTTATTTCATTCATACTTTAACTCATGTAGAAATGCATCTCTTAAATCCTCAGCGTGTGGGTCCAGTTCAGTGAAAAGGTAAATCTATAAAGTTTTGTTATTTGCCAAAGATGGTTCACTAAATAATTATATCCAGCTTTTTTTTTTTTTTTTCCCAAATGTTTAAAGTGATTCATTTGACTTCATGCCCCCTTCTCCCTGTCCCCTGCCCTTTAGTGTAGCTTCAACCACAGCAGACATTCTTTGGACACAAAGAAGAGCGAACATCAACAGAGACAGGGAAATTAGTGTGGTACGTTTGCACCTCTCCAGTGGGTCTGAAGAAATGCTACTTTATGTCATTTCTTAAAGAGAATAGTCATCTGATTTTCTTAATGTTTTCTTTTTTAATAAGTAATCAGTTGATTTTGTATTTCTTTTTGAGGGAATGTTGGTTTCTATTAATATTTTTCATTTTCTCTGCCACTCATGTTTCTGTTTTATGTTCAGTGTTTCAAATAGAGTTTGTATTTAAAGATATAAAGTACCAAAACTGTAGCTGAGTACAGTGAATTGTTTTCTGGTATGATGTTAATATTATGCAATGAAGTGTATAAAAGTGTTGTCAATTTGATTATTGACACATATAACATGTTTACAAATAAACTGTGGTGTTGATCAATAACTGAAAATGTGTATAATCTTCTGTAAGTCCCTTTTAAAGTTTTAAGCATGCCATGCTTTCTCTGCTGGTTTTTCATAGATACATGATTCTATACTATAAATGATATGTAAATGGTATAAAATATATATAAATGTTATTTGCTAATAACCTTTTTATTTTGGAATAATTTTAGATTTACAGAAGAGTTGCAAAGGTAGTCCAGAGATGGCTGTAGGCCCTTCCCTTAGCTGCTTCTCATGGTAACACCTTACGTACATGGCACTTTGGTCAAAGCTCAGCAGCTCGCTTTGCTCCAGTACTATTGACTCAATGACAGGCTTGATCTGGTTTTCACCAGTTTTTCTCCTAGTGCCTTTTCTCTCTCCGGGGGTCCAATCCAGGATGCCACGTCACAGTTAGCTTTCAACGCCTCCTGTGTTGTCTCCAGCTGTGACAGTTTCTCGGTCTTTGTTGACCTTGATCCTTTTGGAGAGCACTCTCAGTTCCTTTGTGGGATGTCACCTGTGTGGGGTTACCTGGTGTTTTCTCGTCATGAGATTGAGATTGTACTTTTTCAGGAAGAAACTAAAGGGTGACACACCCTTCTCTGTGACTCTGGGGTCCATGATGTGGATGTGTGTTACGGGGGATGGGCCTTCTCTGAACAGTGCTGTCTGCTGGGTCTCTTCCAGTGCTACTGTTTTTTCCATGTCCATTCTTTCTTTGGAAATGAGCCACTAAGCCCACACTCCAGGGGAGAAATTAAGCTCCACCTTCTGGAGTCAGAGTATCTACATAGAAAATGGAGAATTGTTAAAGGAAATTTATCGACTTCTTCCGTTTATGCCGTCATTTACTCCTGTTAGTGTAGGTGCATGGCTGTTTATGTTAGTCTTTGGGTTATGATCTGATGCACAAACAAAAAACAAACTCACTGCCATCGAGTTGGATGTGACTCATAGCGACCCCTCCTTGGGTTTCCAGCTCAGTATCTCTACAGAAGTGGATTGCCCAGTCTTCCTTTTGAGGAGTGGCTGGTGGGTTTGAACCATCAGCCTTCTGGTTAGCGGTCAGATGCCTTAGGTGCTGTGCCACCAGAGCTCCTGTAATCTAATGCTGTTGTTTATTTGGTGCATATTGTTCCAGCTTTGACCTTGGGGAGCTTTTCCAGGTTGCCTCCTCTTTCCCTTTGACTTGCCCCCATCCTTTTTTTCCTCCCTCCAACATTTCTTACTGCTGTCACTGCCAGTATTTTTCCAGCTGCAGCCCCAGAGCCGGCCACTTCTCCAAGGAACCCTGGTTCCTTTTATTGGAGTCAAGGTCCAGGTGCTGGGTGTGCTTGTTGTTGCTAGGGTGTCGCTGCTTCTGGGCTGAACTCTTCAGTGAACTGAGCTGGGAAACACAAGTATGCACATTGCCTTCCATATGGACGTAACTATTTCTGTGTCTGTCCGTAGCACTGCAGGGTTCGCTCTAACTTTCCTCCTTTCCCTGCTTTTAACTTCTGACAGTGAGAATCCTGGCTCCTTTTATGTACAATTTATTTACTTTTGTGTTCAAAGTAGTTTCAGTTTAGCCAAGTGTACCTCTGAGAAACAGATTGACCCAGGAGAGGACAGTGGTCAAGGTTTATTTGTTTTAGTCATTAGCTTTACAGTATCCTGTCAGAATATAAACGTTTTCCATTTTCAGTCTGTGGCTTGTCTCAGCACTGTCTTGTAGAACAAATTTTTAATTTTCATAAAATCCAACATATTAATAATGTTTTGGATTTAGCTTTTGATACTGTCTCTAAAATCTCATCACCAAACCCAAGAACATGCAGATTTTCCCTGTGTTTTCATGTGAAAAGTTTTGTAATTTTCTGTTTTACAATTAATCTTTGATTCATTTTTGAGTTAATTTCTGGGTTAGGTGCTAGGTGCATGACCAGGTTAATTTTTCACATACAGGCACCCAGTTATTAAGACACTGTCTTGAAAAGACTGTCCTTTCTCAACTGAAATGTCTTTACAACCTTGTAAAAAATCAGTTGTTAGATCCGTAGAGACAGGGTAGATTCGTCTGGGGATGGGAATGGCATAAGGATTCTTTTTGGAGCAAGGGAAAGGTTCTAAAATTGGGAGTGGTAATGCCTGTACAACTAAATTTATTTTTTTAAAAAATCAATTGTACACTTAAAACAAATGAATATTCAATTGTACACTTAAAACAAGTGAATATTGTGATATATAAATGATACTTCAATAAAGCTCAAAAAATGATGTGACAGTATCTGTGTGG